AATATATACACCCCTTCTCGTTCAACACCCGTTCCAATCGTCCTCTTCTGCTTTAGGTCCTGTATCAAACAAACAGAATTAACAAACAATGCCAAGCAAGACTGGCGCAGAAGCTGAGATACAGAAATCAAATTACAAGCCAACGAAGGGACATAAAGAACATTGGAGAGATGAAGAGAAGAGCCCAAAGTAATGCTGCCACATTGCGTAGCAATATCATGAACTCCATTCGGCAGTCCCACAGAACAAGGAGAAATAGAATGCACATTGGATAGATAGGAGAGTGTGCCCGTCATGTGTTGGGATGCACCACTGTCGATGATCCAAGATGGGTGTAGGTAAAAGGGTGACTTAGAATCAGAAACCTTGAAGGTTTTAGGTGCGGAAGTCATGATGAAAAAAAATGAAGGCTTGTTGATCGTCAAGCTCTTGATACCATAACAGAAGTTGCTGTCATTCGCAGCTAGATGATATATTAAATTGGGTCTATTATATAGACCAAGATTTACAATTGGTTACATCAGGAAATCAGCTAAACTTAAGGAACAGAAAGCATAAATCAAGCTAATCTATTTACATCAGGAAATCAGCTAAACTTAAGGAACAGAAAGCATAAATCAAGCTAATCTATTTACATCAGGAAATCAGCTAAAACTAAGGAACAGAAAGCATAAATCAAGCTAATCTATTTTAATATACAAGGTAACAAACCGTGATAGTTACAATCAGGATCCTAACAAATTAATGTTACTCTAATACAATATAAAAGTATTTGGATTTATAACTACGTACTCTAAACTGTTGGCGTTCACTAGCTAACAAAAATGGTTTTAGCATACTGCCACATTGCTTATACATGAATGTGGAAATTATTATTATAAAAAATCAAAACATGTTACGAAAGTTTGGTACGAGACATTCCAATAGCATAAGCCAAAGGTTACTATAATATATTTACTTTTCCGGCCGTGGATATTATAAAATAGAACATGAAGAAGGTTCTTTCTTTTTTTTAATTTTTTTGGTACATGCTTTTTTGATCAAGTGCAAATGGGTTAGTATGTAGGCAACATGCTTGGTTTTCAGACGTTGAATCACAAATCACTAAACTGCGACTCAAGGTGCCAACAACAACGTGGTTTTAAAACATATTAGGATGACGGAATAGTTGTCCCAATTCAACTTTGCGACAGCTTCCGAAGTCAATGACTACTTACATAACATATGAATAATCTGCTAATAGGAAATCTTTAAAAATCAAATTATATGTTTTGTCGTGAAGAAAGGGTGTCAAAGTGAGTCAACACTTTGGGTAACAACGCGATGCTTTCTCCTAAGCCACAAAAGTCAGGAACCCATTACCTTAATCATTTTTCATAGTTCAACATTTATTTTTATTTTACCCTCACGGTTTGTTACACTTGAAGAATCATTTGTAACAAAGGAAATGTGTCAGGTTTCAACTTAACAGAGAGAACTAAAACAGAGAAAAACTAAAAGAAACTAACACAAGAACTTCATTATTCAGATAACACTACTGTTTACATCAGTCTCCTTTTATATTACTCTTTTACAATTGAACAGCTACGTAACTACCCTAACAACTCTCCTTGTTTCACGGCACAGCTCTAACTGTATTTCCTCTAGCATGTGACCTAAGCTACAACTAATGCTGCTTTGTATTTCTCTTGTGGATACCCTTCTCGTAACAAAATGTTAACATAATATGGGTTCGAGGATTAGAAAATTGAGAAGAAAAAGAAAGAAAAACAACTGAAGTACCATTAATCACATGAATATTTATCCTTCATATAATGTGAAAATTTTAAATAACATCTTTTTAAGTGATCCGAAATATTTCTAAACACCGACAAATATAAAGTGGGACAAGTGGAAGCTCTTGAACCCAAACCCTTCAAAAAAGAAAAGTAATTAAATGATTCAATGTCAAACAGCAGTAGCACAAGGCATCTGCAAAAACATCACCAAGAATTTGATGCTCCAACACCTTCGGCGGATGTGCTCGAAGTCTAGAATGTAGGCATTTAAACATACTTTTTTTTTTTATAAGTGCTCTCTTTTTTTTCTAAAAAAAAGCAGTTTTTAAAAGGGGAAATCTCATCCAAACAGGCTCTTAGTATGAGTGGGTGCACTGTCGGACCGAGGTGAGCGCATATGTCCGCAAGTGCGGACATAAAATTTCAGATTTTAGTTTTTTGTTGTTGTTGTTGTATTCATGTAGGTCTTTATTTGTCTATTGATTCAATATTTATATTATGAGTAAATATCATTTTATGTCCCTAAAAAACATGGTCTCCACTTTAGTTCCTTACCAAAAATTAGTCTCGAGGAGGTCCCTAAAAAATTCAAAGTGGATCAATTTAGTTAAAATTATCCCTCACAAATTCAAAAAAGACCTACATTAGTCCCTCAAAAAGACTAAAATGGGTCCACTTTAAATTTCATAGGAACCAAGTGACTATTTTTTTTATAATAGACTAAAGTGATGATCGAATTTTTTGTTAGGGATCAAAAATGATATTTATTCTTATATTAGTTAGCAACGTAGCAACTTACGGAGATGATTAAAACAACATAGCAACACAAATTGATTAGAGAGAAAACTTATTTTTTCTCCACTGTCACGTACCCATTCCCATGATTTCTTCATCCTTTGTTATGGAAGCAACTAGATTATAAGCGGGTTCAAGCGTTAAATTAAACTTTCTTTACAAAAAAAATTCGGGAGCGCTGCCCCTGAACCCGATCAATATATGTGCGGACATAAAAAAAAAATTCTGGTTGCAGTTAACTGTCTCCACATATGCAAGATTATATGAATGAATTTACCCCTCACAATGATCTTTATGAATTAGGTCATTTTTACCAAAGATATTTTAAGCCTAATAACTTAATTCATTACCTTATTATAACCAAATAAATAGAAGTATTACTAATTAGATCATTTTTTAAGATTTTGATGCTACAAAGATAATAATTTTTCTTTTCTTTTCATTAATAATGAACTATACTCAATTAGTTAATGGGAAAAATGTTTCTGCAGTTAATGCAGATACGTTATCTGCATTTATTTCTAAAACGACGTCGTTTTGGTATTGAAATCTTAAAAAATTATAAATATAAAGACTATTATAACCCTAAAATAAATTCAAATTACAAAAACACCATGATTTTCGCCCCAAAACGACGTCGTATTGGGCTTACTGCAGATAACTTATCTGCAGTAACTGCAGAAAAAGCGAACCCTTAGTTAATTCACTAGTTTTTACATTTTATATAAGTTAAAGTTCCCATTATTTAATTCATGTTAATGTAGCGATAGTTTATAGCATAGCTTGGCTCCTAGTTGCACGCTGCAATATTTTTTAATCAATGATGATATTGAGATTTCAACCTATAACCTCATATAAGTTACTTAAATTTCTCACTACTAAATAAATTATTGTGGCTTATGCTGCAATATTTTAAATTTAGTTGCTTTTTATCGGGTCTATGAAAACAGACGTCTCTTGCTAATAAAGATAGTTGTTTTTATCTACCAAAAACAAAAGATAGTAGTTTTACGTGAAAAGTATGGATTTAGTTGATATGTAAGAAAATTTTATTTGATAAAACTATTTTTGCAGTTGAAACCGTGGACAAGTAACTTTGAAAGAAATTAATGAAATTATTGAATTCTGCCTAAGTTTAGAAGCTCGATGATACGTTTTTCGAAAATAAAATTGTTTTTAATATATTCAACGTTATAAAAAATTACTTTTACAATTTAAATCCCATGTATTCAATTACATGCAGAAAAATCTTTATCTTTGGTTAATTCTGTTAGAGAAACATAAAATCATTAATATAACCTCTATCACCAGCTTAAGTTTTTGGATTAAATTGATTATTTACATCGTATCATAACCTCGATATCTTGAGTTCCATCCTTGTTGCCCCCCATTTTCTATGTGAAAATTCTTAGCACAAATAGACTAGGCTTAATGCATTATCCACCTTTCATGTCCAAAAAATTTTCTTGTGAAGGAGCATGTTAAAAATATATAAAATCACTAATGCAATCTCACCCAACGACTTAAATTTTTAGATTGAATTAATTATGTACAAATTCGATACAACAGATTATCAGAAATCACAATATCTAAGCCACACTAGTTTGGTCTGGCAGTGGATAGGTTTGTATTAGAATGTGTTTAATTTTCATTTGTATCAAAAACAAAAAAATTGTTGAGGAATTCAAGTGTTAATGATTGAGTGAAAAAAAAACCCGCATTGATTAAAAATGGACTAAGTGAGCACCATATAAGTGGAAGGACTCATGCACCTAATGCCTTTAAGGTTTTGGGTTTGATTGTGGTGTTCCGAATCCACTTAATGTTACTGCTCACTTGGCCCATGGTTGGCGGTCTCTCTCGGCCATGAGCTCCCCGTGCACGGCCCAACATTGGTATCAAAGCTAATGGTGACTTGGCCTGTGGTGATCCGAGTATGTCTTGACGTGAGAAGCCAAGGTCTTGATGGATATAACCAAGCCTTGGTGAGAAGCCCCATGAATACTCGAAGAAAGAATGTGGGCCTTGGATTCACACTTGAGGGGGAGATATTGAGGAATCCAAGTGTGAATGATTGAGTGAAAAAAAATCCACGTTGGTTAAAAATGAACTAAGTGAGCACCATATAAGTGGAAGGACCCATACACCTAATGCCTTCAGATTTTGGGTTTGATTGTGGTGTTCCAAGTCCACTTAATGTTGCTGCTCACTTAGCCCATGATTCTCTCCCCGCCATGAGCTCCCCATGCACGGCCCAACAAAAATCACAATTTCTCCCATTTCCTCCGTTATCCGTAGCTTCACTTCAGAAATGGTAACTCAATCGAAAGATGTGGATAATATCATGTAATACAGTTCCGATAATAAAGCCATTTTATTGAATGATTATCAATAAAATTTCGGGGGCATTTAGCTTTTTGAGGGCATCACAACTACAATACCGCTACACTAATCCTTCACTGGAAATTCACTACATAAATGCTTATCAAAATCAAATTTTCTTTTCACTGGAGAGAAATACACTAGAAGACATACCAAACTTCACAGAATTCATTACACGGTACAGTACAGACTAACCCTGGTACAATCATTACAGAGAAACAACGAACAATACCAGATGAAGATATTGTAATGGAAAAAAAGAAGAGAAAAGAAAAAGAGAAAGAATATACTAAGCCACACTGGGAAGTGACTGACAGTATAAAAGCCGATGGATCAAAACCTGAGAACAGTCTCACTTATTCCCCCGGAAATACATGTATATTTTCTGCAGACGCACAGAAAAGGAAACAATCATCAAGCAATATAATATGAAACACGTATTCTAAAAAATTTATGAGCAAGTCTAGCTCTTGAAATAAAAACATGCACAAAAAATTCCCTGTTTACTTTATCCTTCCGATAATAGCTAAACATCTGCTACAATTATAGCAATCCTAATTTTTAATTCTTAGCAGTCTTAGTTTTTGACAGAGATTAAAATAAAGAAAAAGCTTTTGTATCTTTAAATCCCCACCCCCCAAATATGTTTCAAAAACCGGCCTGAACGGCCTGTTGAAGACCATAGCCCGGTCATTTTTATCACAAATTTATCCCGTTGAACTAATCAAAACCGTAAACCGCAGGTTGTGCCACTTTATTTTCCAGTTTGGTTTTAAAACATTATTTCCCCCCTTCTTTCTTCCTTCTCCATGGGTCCCCAAAAGGAGTACCTAAATTCTTACTATCATACCATTATAATCAAATTATACTCCCTCGGCCCCTTTTCATGTCGATTTTGCAAAACACAATCACAGTTGAGTAAGTGTTGAAATTCTTAGTTCAGTCCTGATTCCTGAGTTTTGACATGGTTCACAAATAAAGGTGACGCTTTTGAGTTTTTAGTTTGCCCCCCTTTCTCCTTTCTTCATGGCTACATACAGAATTGAAAATTTGAAGACTAAAGAACCAATTGAATCAAACTGAAATGGGCCTCTCTAGTTCAGTGATCATATAAGGCATCTCGTGTTGTTATATAGGAGCATACTATAAATCACATCACATGCAACAATAAAGATGCAGAAAATAGTCTATGTTCATATTATTTTAACTTCTATTATTCATCCCATTGCTGAGAAACAATATAAAAATGGAGAATGCAAATCAATGCAGATGTCCCTCACCTGAAGCACCCATAAACTTAGAAGAGCCTCCAAGCAAAACAGACCAAATCCGACCAAATAAAATATCTGCAAGAATACCAAACATGTAAGCACAGGCAAAATGTTATGGAACTAGATTTTTCCCATAATTTAAATTCAAAATAACAAAGGTGGAGAAAATTTCATATTTCCAGCAACCTCAACAAGTTACCAAACTGATAAAAAAAATTCCAGTATCCTCTCTCTGATTGTTCAAGGGCATTTTGATCTAATAAAAACTTAATACAACAGCAAGCTCATTGCACCCATGCCTTACCCAAGCTGGTCACCACTCAATCTAGTTCCGTAAATGTCCAATTCCCACATAGTTTACATCCCTTCATCTAAATTAAAGGTCCATACAATTAGTTCCTTGTTATCATTTTGTTTGGTTTCTCAGACAAAGTCAAGTGCTAATTAACTGGACATCAGTATTAACTTCAACTTGTCTCCATTCATACACAAGATCATAAGGTCCAATCAACTTGTAAAGATAATAGCCTTCATGTATATTTACTTTTAAATTACTATAAATATATAAACATATAATATCAGAACTTGGTATGCAGTCGCAGATATTCCATCAGTAAATGAACCTAATTTGTCAAATTACAATATCCAAGAGCAATGCATGAATAGAAATGCTTCTAAATTTCCTGTGCAATATCTTTGACAAACAAAAAACAAGATTACTATATTAGTTACAACCCTACAAAATAAAATGTTCACGGCTCATTAATATTAAATGGTGATATTCTAAAAAAGCATAGAAGATAATTTCACCCGCCAAGAATAAATGCTAATATGCACAAATAGAATACTACTTACCCCAACCAATACATGGCCTGAGAAGCCATCAATTGCTGCAAGGATGCCCCTGCAATTTTAAATGAATTAATTCAAATGTAACATAAAATAAATATATACTTATTTAATACATTTACCAATACATGCGAAGAAGTAAAAGGGTGACCACAAGATAACAGCACAACATGGCATCCAACTACTTTTTAGCAGAAAGCAAAGTACTTGAGATTGAGAATCATTTTAAGTGAATTTAACAAATTTTAGAGCCAAAGCAGTTCCTTCTAACCTCACTTTATCATTAAACCCCATGTTTTGTTGCTTATATATGCCTGCACAATGAGTAGGTGTTCATCTGAACCTCGAAAAACTTACCAGGATCCTATCATTTTGTTAAGTTCTTATGCTTATTATAAATGACAGTGTCCAAGCAAGCTGCTAAATGATACCTTCTGATTTTGAAACATCTAATTATAGTAACCCCCCCCCCCCCCCCCCCCCCCACCCAAACTTGCAATAAAAAGCCTATCAGAGGAAATGCACAAAAAACATGCTATAGGAGCGCAAGTTTTTAAAATTTCTCCCCCGGGGGCATTCACCTTTTGGACTATACTTCATTAAAAAATAACACTCAATATCAACCAGATAAAGAGATAAAAAAATATAATGGAACTTCAGTTTAGTAAACTCTAATATGATTTGCAGAACTTACGCTAACGATTTTCCATGAAAAACAACTGGTGGCGCAATTGCAGCAAAGATGCAAAATGCAATATGAAGCTGCATCAAGTCAAAGCAATTAATAGAAGAATTAATAAATCAATTGCTCAGTAGTATGTCAGTATTATGTAATAGATTAATATACCATGTAGAACATGAAAAACCAACCAAACTTCAGGGCGCTATCTGTCCTGCATATCAGAAACAACCATCATCATACACAATTGGGTTAGTAGGGCATAAATCCATAATTTCTCCCCTGCCTGTAACTAAAAGGGACCCATACTAGACCTAAGCCCTTGTAATTAGGCTGTGTTGAAATGCTTGTAAAGATAAGGAGGAAACAATGTAGTTTACCTCATAGCACGATAGAGGGGCCTGTACCAAAGCACATATGAAAGGGGGACACCAAGTAGAGCATAAATCACCGCTAGGAAAAAAATTTTAACACCTGCACATTGTAAACTTCACACTAAGGTCCAAATTACATCATTTGACTAGAGTTGGCAGTACAGAGAAACAGAATTAGCTCACCGCCGCCTCTGATCCAACAGACAGTCACAGCAACTACATTAAAAACTAGGCAGAGAACGATACCTGCAAAGACATCAAAAAATAAATGCAATAAAAATATTAAATATAGAAATGTATACTAGAAATGAAGACGTGAAAAAAAAGAAGTAAAATGAGTTCTAAAAGAGGGTGTTCGTGTGTCTACATATATGTATATTAAGTTAAAGAGGGATATGATGTACATGCCCCATGGAACAAATCTGCACCAGAAAACATCTTTCAATATATTTAATAGAGAACATAGATAGAAACAACATCACAAAATCTTCTATTTAGGACCATCCTAACCCGTAACCGCAATATGGCCATATCTCCATTCCAGCAATTCACAATATCCAAAACCAAGCATACTACAAGATGTGTAAAGAAACCCACAAAAAAGAGGGAGTTGGAAATACAATGAAAGAGAGAAAGAGCGAGAGAGAGAGAGAGAGAGAGCTAATCTATTATTGATGAATGAATCTCAACAGAAAAGGAGAGAATTAGTCTCCTTCCTTGGGTTTTCCCTTCAACAAAGGATTTCCCCTTTTCCAACCAAGTTATTGCTCGGTTCTCCAATACTAACAATATTCAGAAGGAATCCTCATCTACCCTGCTCCTACTATTTAAGCTAAGCCGCTGCTGTTACAACTCTAATCACTCAGCCAATTCTGTAACTACTCTTTAAGCCACCTAACTAATTCTGTAACTACTTTTATTCTTCTGTCTGGGTCCTATGGTCCTATCAAGATGCTAAAAAGTTTTTAATGAAATATCCCAAAACAAGATCAACACAAACAAACATATAATTGCAATTGCAAGCCCCAATAGTCATTCGTATAGTTCTAAAAAAAAGTCAGAGGATTGTTTGTGTTGAGACTGGTCATTGTTTCTCAAGAATTTACACAGCAACTCTGCGTGAGAAGTGAAATTGTGGATTGTTTGTGTAGAGGGGGCAATAAAAACCAGAAATAATTTGATATTAATAATAATTCTGTAGATTCATAATTCCACACAGAAAATGGTGAAGAACAATGAAGAAGACTGTAATAGAAATGCCCAAAGTTCGAAGAAATTATTGAATGCTAAAAGAGAGCTAAAACTCAAAAGATATTAATATTTTTTATTTGGATGCAATTTTGCAAATATTTTCTATATTCATTTCATGGTAGAAACACTAGTCAAATATACAGCAGGAAATAGTATAAAACTGCTATGACCTAGCCAAAATTGTTCAGAACTTTAACGCTTCTATGATTGTGGTATATTAATATACATATTCCAATCACTGAAAAAGGAAAAATGGAAAGTTTTCAAATTTGAGAGAAGTGTATTATCACTTCACGTTAAAACAGTATGATAAATATGTCTAAAGGAAAAGACAGAAAGAAGATCTTGAAAGAATTATCAGGATACAGAAAAGGCACATGACACATGATCAATATTACAAAAGCTATAGAGAGCACCTAGTTAGAAACTGCATTAGTAAAATGGAACAAGAACCCATTTGCTATAATAGTGTACAGCACCTCATCCAGATTTACTGGTAACCAAAATGGCTCATTTAACAGAACAAAATAACCAACTGTAAATTATGGACTACGTCAGGAAAAGCTTCTCTAGACCATACTGAAAAAGTTCATGGATAAAAAACTCGAACATGAATTGAAATTTTAAGGATTAGATAGAAAATATCTAAAAGAGGAATATATCAAAAAATGTTTTACTGATGAGATTTTGAATTATTGTGATAGAAAACACTAACCTAGAACCTCTATTTATACAAGAACTGTGACTATGAAAAAATACTCATACCCTTTAGTTTGGTTGGACTACAAGCAGTTACTAACTTGACCAAGAAGACACATAATAATAAATTATATTTCTCAACAACAACCAAACCAACCAAATAATTAATAAATAGATAACATAATTAAGCAACAATACCTAACCAACTTGCAAAAGCCAAATATTGCAGCCTCTGAGCATGAACTGGTATTTCATTGGCAATATCATGGTGAATGATTGGGAAAAATGGAGGCCAGTTCTTATCATCAACAGGCACACCAGCTGCTAAGCATATTTTAGAAGCAAGAAAAAATGTTATCGACTTGCCATAAAGTTAGAGAGGGAGCAAAAAGACACTTAATTGAAAAGCCTGTATGGTGGGGGTCTCATCATTCACCTTTCGAAACAGCATCTTCTCTTCTTTTTATTTCCTACAGATGCATTTTGAAAGAGTCAAAAAATCCTCAAAAGCAAAGGATACCAGTTGATTACTAGTGGCAGAAGCAAGAGCTAAAAAATACATGAAGTTAAGAGAATATAAGTATATCACTGTTGATGATTGCAATAAAAGTAACAATAAGAATGTAAAAACCAAAATCTGAGGGGGAATTTGTAAAACCAACCTTCTCTCTCCTTTTTAAATCTGCTTCCCAAACTGCCAGCTCTTGACCTTTTTTCTTAGAGTCCTATATAAACATCATGAGGAATAAACTCAGGCCCCGAAAAAGAATCCTAAAATTGTAAGAAAATCTCTGAATAAGCAATGACATTACATTTTTAGTTATAGTATCTAAAGGAATATCAACTGTAGCATCATGTCTTTGACCAAAGCCCAATGGTTCAGATGCCAATGGAGGAATACGTGATTTTGATCCAGGAGCAGCAGCACCATTCTGTAAGATTTCCAAAATAAATAGAACAAAGAATCACATGTCATGACTTAAATGAAACAATAAAGCATCAAATGTCAAGGCTTCCAAAACTAGCAATTTGCACTTCAGATGAAAACTACAACGGCAACATTGTTTTACTAGGTAGGTTTTATAATTACACGCTGTGCTTAATTCATAAAAATTTACAAGGTTTCAATTAGTTAAATATCTTACATACACATACATGCAGCTAAATTAATTCTAAACTCAAGCTCAAATCAAATATTATATTGTGTCAGAAATGAAAAAATTACATTTAGCATTGTTACAATTGAAGGAAAACTCACATGAAGGGCACTCTGCAAACTCAATGAAAGACAGGACTACTAAACCTGTTAAACAATCGAACTTATGTGCAATAATTTTTTCTTTTTTTAATAAATATACAGTGAAGATGATATTAAACTTTTGGGCAGTTCACTTAATTGGAATTTGAATGGTACGTCACTACGTCTACAACCCCACAGCATGCTTAGCTTAGATAATACATTGGTCGTCGGAGGGATTTCATAGAAGTTATGTTTAACATAGCCGCAGAAGTAAAGACAAGTTCTACTTAACTACAATTCAACATTTGCATTCAGCATGCCAAACACTTCTTCTAGACTGTGCTTGTCCTATAGATAATTACAGACAAACACACCACGTAAATTTAAGATGCTAAGCGGCATATACAATTGAACGAACAAACGAGAACGATACTGCATCAATCATTACAAACAAAAACCACCCCAAGGAATAAATCAAAACAAAGAAACCAAACTTCTTGGATCATTCCACTTAACCTGCCCTTTCCAATTATCGAGGCCCCAAATGTTTTGTTACTCCTTGTCTACCAAATTCCCCAACCATCAAAAGAACAAAATCTTGAGCCATAACAATGATAACAAAAAGCCGTAATGCAGCCAAGCATTCAATAACCAGTTCACGCATCGCACATTTCCAGTACGTGGATTCACTCAATTAAGTAGCTCAGTAAACACCATAACCGAAATCGCAAAACTATATATTTCCAGATCCAAATACTCCACAAACATCCACACTAAGTTCCGCACAGATTTGTCATCTCAGCCCCGATTCAGCACTCACTCTTTCTCAATTAATAGTATCTCCGCAGCCAAAAAAGAAAATGATAGCATAACCACGCAATTTAACCACAGATCCACCTTAGCAGTTCCATTTTTATCGGTTACAAGGTCCAGCCCAAAATTTAGTTAGTTTCGAGTGAAAGCAAGGTTGGATCTGAGTGAAAAACTACTAAATATAGATAGAAATGGAAAGAGAGAAGAAAATTAGATTACCGAGAAGGGATTGACTTCTTCTTCTTCAAATGGATTGGGATCGTGGTGGCGATTCATGATGAAAACTTAGATCCCGAGAAAATGTGCGAGGAGAGTGCCAAAAATGCCGAACCTTAAGATGCGGGTGCGTGGGAGAGCGAGACTGTGCTAGTGCGTGCGGTGAGTGACCGCACTCTTCTCGCTTTTTTACTACCTGGCTTCGCTTGTTGGCAACGCGGGATATGGTTTTAGAATAGAGAGAAAAAGTAACCAAACTTGAATTCGTAATTTCGTACTCGTTGCCCTTCCATTTGGTTGGAATTTACGGTGTGTGCCCCTGGGTCGGTGTGGCGCTGCTTTCAGTGTGGTGTAGAAAGTGGAAACGTTATCGTAATTCACGTGAGCATGCCTTTGTGTGATGTGGCAAATGTTTGTTGGGCGATTGAGCTTTTTTGGTATTAGAATTGGTGGAGGCTAGACCGTTGGATTAAAGTTCAAAAAAACGGTAACATCGCAACAACGTTAACACTTTATTTTATTATTATTTTAAAAATTAGGCACAACCGACCTCGGAAGGGACCGGTTGAGTAGCACTGTAGTAGTAGCGTTTTTCTACCTCTTTCTTTGTCTGAATGATCGGAAAGAGGACAAAATATGAGGGGAAGTTTTGAAATTTGAAATCATGGAAACTTTTATGATTTTTTTTTCTTTAATTATTTTACCTATTTCACTCTAATATCATTTGGTCATAATTTTAATTATCCTTTATTTCTTTTCTAATTAATCTTACTTTTTCTCTCTTCACTTAAGATTATGATATAATAAAAAAATAGGTATGATAATTATAAAAAATATGGATATAATATTCTATTCCATTATTTATTTCAAATTCTTTCATTTGAAGTTTTTTTTGGAGTTACCCAACCCTAATTATCTCTTTGAGACGAGTTGGCTCCCTCCGGTATCCCAACGAGCTTCGACTCTTTGAGCCGGCTATGGGACTAATCCGAAGTGCGGGGAACAGTGATGGCTAAAGGTTCAGCCCCCTCCCCAAGAATGCATTCAGCGGGAATCGAACACATATCCAATCTCACTAACTCAGCGCCAAGTTACCAACTGAGCTGCACCCATTGGCTTCTTTCATTTGAAGTTTTCAAATTTTAAAAAGTTGACAGTGTTTAATTTGTTTTCATTTCATTAATAACTACAAAAATGTCATCTTATTACTATTTTGTTTCTTTTTTACTTTTATAAAAAATAAAAACAATTTTATGTTACAAATTAGAAATTTTATCGGCTAAACACATAAAAATACGTCAGGCTCATATTTTTTTTTTTTCTTTTCAGATGGGTCTCACACAATTTTATATATATATATATATATATGATAAAACTATTTCTTATACTATGATAAATATTAATCTTATACAAATATAATACAAATTAAAGAGCACTTTTTTTCTTCCCTACTTTATTTCTTTTTATCGAGTATGCATTTGACTAGTAAAACTACCTTCCTTCAATCTTTGTAGGCTTTACACCAAATACTTTTTTTTTCCATGACTGATTTGTTCTTTGCTCTAAGAAGTTTTGGCTCTTTTCATTTCTCAAACAATTTATTATAGTAGTTGGCATTTAACAATCGATTCATGTGTCTCAAACGGCTCGCTTATATCTCATATTAACAGATGACGTGCCAATATACTCCACGACTAGGACTCAGCCCGACATTTCTGCCCTTGGGTTTTCAAAATGAAAACCTTCTTCCTAGGGTCGGCAAAAACGAGCCAATTTGTCAGGTTAATTGTCGGCGAAAACAAGTCAATCTGTCGAGTTAGCTCGTAACCCGTAAAAAATGAGTCAGGTTGGGTTGGCGAAAATAAGCTGCCAACCCGACCCGAGTCAGCTCGTGAAAAAATGAGCCAACCCGCGGGTCAAACGAGGCAGCTCGCGTGTTGAGTTTTTTTTTATATACAAAATATAATATACAAAAATGGACAAAACTCACACATGCTGTCATCATTTTTCTTCCTTCTCTAAACCTAAGTCTCAAATCTTCTCACATCCTATGCCATTTTTATATTGTTAGGTTGTGCTGGCTCTATTTGGTTCAAATATCTTACCCACTTGGTAGCGAGTGGTTCTGATTGTTTCTTGATGTTGATGCAAATTTGTAAGAAAAAAATATTTTGCTTTTAAAGCAATAATTAACTTGATTCACATAATAGAGACGAGTGAATCTCACGCGCTCAAGTTTTTTCTCTGAGAAAATTTTCCGTTGGCTATGGGAGAAACAAGATCAGCGTCGACTAAATAAGAGGATAACCTGAATCGGAGCATCAAGAAGCCTAAAGGACTGGAAGTTCATGATGTGCTAATGGACGAGCACATGCAGGGAGAAGATCCAAGCACTCCGGTATTAAATGTAGGGGGGAGAAGCTTTGGCTTGCGAATTGCATAACCATGGGAAGGTAACTAATGGTGGCTCTGATCATCTGTCTGGTGGATCCTCAGGGAAAAGCAGCGGTCAGGGTCAAAGGGTTGTTTCATACAAGGATAAATTGTTGCGACTTAATGGAGCTGAAGAAATGTCTGATAGTGAAGATGAGGACTGGATGGCTAAGCAAAGAAGGGAAGAAGAAGAAGAGGATATGCTGGAGGAGGGATCCGAAGAGGTGATGGATGATCCTTTGTGTCCTACCTACAAGTTCTCGAAAAGCCAGCATAAGGAGGACTGTAAGCAATAGAGGAAAGCACTTATTATTAAACTTCTGGGGAAGAGTTTGGGTGCTAGGTTTTTAATGACTAGATTGGTGAAAATGTGGAATCTAGTGGGTATCTATGAGGTTATCGACATGGATAATGGCTATCTCGTTATCAGGTTTCAAGAGGACAGTGACTATAATCATGTGTTCCATGAAGGACCCTGGATAGTTGCAGATCATTACTTGACAGTGCAGAGGTGGAGGCCTTTTTTTGACACGTATGATGAGAAAGTGAAGAGGTTGGCTGTCTGGATCAGAATTCATGGATTGCCACTGGAGTTTTACACTACCCATAATCTTTGGAAAATTGGTAGTATTTTTGGAAGAACTCTTAAGATTGACAAGAATTCTCTGAGAATGAATGAAGTTGGTGATGGGGACATTACAGAGAGAGCCAGATTTGCTCGCATCTGTGTTGAAGTGGATCTCAGGAAGAACGTCCTGTCGAAATTCAAAATTGGGGGGAGAGTCTTGCATGTGGGTTACGAGGGATTGCATATGATTTGCTTTGATTATGGGTTGTATGGCCATAGAAAGGACTCATGTCCTAGTTTTGAAGTTCATAAATAGTGCTCTGATGATGGAGTTCTTAGCAAAGGGGCTTAGGATGTCAAGGAAAAATAGAAAGGTGAAGAACAGCAGAAGAAAGAAGATGTTTTTTGGCACCTGGATGGTAGTTCAGAAAACAGGAAGAGGGCGTAAATTGAGAGCTTCCCCAGTTAAGCAAGTCTCTAGCAATGAAACTCCTCTGAAACATGAAGAATAGCAGATCAATGTTATTGATAATGTTATTGCATGAGAGATGATGAATACTGATAGTCCTATAGAGGAAGTAGCTCCTGAGGAAGCTACTAAGTCTAATGATAAGGAGGAAGGGATGTTGAGTAAGAAGGATGGAGGATGGTTAATGAGAGGAAAGCTAGGGGTTCTATCCCTAGTAATCAAAACTCAGGGCCTGAGAAACAAAAAAATGTGGAATGAAGTCTGGTTCAACTAAAGGAGCAGCCATGAGTTCTAGTGGGTTGCAGAAAGGCAAGTCTAATACGAAAGGGTTTATGAGTAGAGTTCAATCATCAGAGAATCAATACCCCAAATCCTTGAATATGGGATCACAAAAGTTGAATAATAGAAGCAAAGCATCAGAAGGAGGAGTTCTTCAACCTTCACAGGATCCTAATATCCTGGCCAACGGGAAATCTAAAGGGGAGGAAATACTGAATACTCTGAAGATCGGGACTCATATTCAGTATGGAATGGAACTTGATCAGGTCAGTCCAGGCCTGGGAGGTACTAGAATTCATAATAATTCTTGATGATTCAATCCTTTGTGGTTGAGGTTCTATGCTTTTATTTGTTATGTTTATGAATATTTGTTCATGGAATTATAGAGGGGTGGGGAAAAAAGAATTCTCTGCTCTAATTAGAGATATCAAATATAGGTTTAAAATAAAAGTTACGGCTTTGTTGGAAACCAGAGTTCAAGGTGATATGGGAGAAGTTATTATCAAAAAGCTTGGGTTTTCTAAGTTTTTCAAGCAAGAGGCTGTTGGCTTCTCTGGAGGTATTTGGGTGCTGTGGGATGATAAAGATGTTGAGGTGGAGGTTATTCAATCTCATCATCAATATGTCCATACTAGAGCCCATTATTTAGAAGATAGAAGAGTGGAGTTAGTCTCTTTTGTGTATGGGAGCCCGAGGAGGTCTGAGAGAATAAACCTTTGGGAGGAATTGGATAATCTTTTTGAGTCTGTGAATCCTCCCTGGATTATTCTTGGGGATTTCAATTCTATTTTAAGACAGCCTGAGAAGATTTGAGGCATGGATGTTTGTTGGATAAGTACTCAAGAGATGCAGGATTGTCTTGAGTTGTGTGGTGTCTCTGGTATTGGGTTTAAGGGCCCTAGCTTCACTTTGAAGAGGGGAAGATTACAAGAAAGGATTGATAGAGCCTGTGCTAATGAGGAGTGGAATGTGGCTTGGCCTAATAGAGTTCTAGGTCATTTGCCTTATTTTAACTCTGACCATAGACCAATCTTGGTCAGTAATTGCCAATCTGCTCAGGATCTGAAAGGTGTGAAGCAATTCAAGTTTTTAGCTGCCTGGCTCACTAATTTTGAGTTTGGTAGTATTGTCAAGAAGTGTTGGGAGAAGAATGTAGACTGGATAGAAGCTAGGAAAGAGTTTGAGGTGGAAGCTTCTAATTGGCACCATAAGGTTTTTAGAGAGGAGATGAGACAGAAGCACCGTATATTTGCTAGAGTCCAAGGCATTGATATGGAGTTGTAAACTAGATATGACAGGGAGCTTGAGAGGTTGCAAGGAGATCTTTGGAAAGAGTTGGAGAATATTTTGCTTAGAGAGGAACTAACTTGGTTCCATAAATTTAGAGTAAACTGACTGAAGTTTGGTGATAGAAACTCTAAACTTTTTCACTCGACTACTATTGCTAGAAGAAGGAATAA